GGGGGGGGCAAAGGTGTGAGTCAGGTGCTAGCGATTCAAATATGGAGCCCACCTGCCAGCTATGTGGGGGAGGACTCACCAAAGGAGCAATGGCCTCTGTCAGCTCCTCTGTCTGGGAGAAAGCTGCCCCTCCACCTTTTGCCCCAACTTCAGGCAGGTTAGTTCCTCCCTGAATGTCCCAAGTTCCTTTCCAGCTGTTGCCCAGCGCTGGGCTCAGAGGGAGCGCATCTGAGTTCCTGTGTGGGCCCTTTAATAGGAAAGCCTGGGGCTCCTGTGGACTCCGAGTCCCTGTGACAGTCCCTGCTGGTTTTCACAGCCCTAAGGTGTGGGGACGTCTCTTCCCGGCCCTGGAGCCCTGGGTTGGGGGTCTGGGACCCCTCCCTCCTCCGGGAAACCTCTGCCGCTGAGATAGTCCTCCCGGGTTTAACCCGCGGCACTGGGTGTGGGCCCGCGGGCCGCATCTCCCCAGTCTTGGTGCTTCTTCATTCCCCTGGTTGTAGGGCTTCTGTTCAGCCAGATTTCAGGAGGTTCTGAGTGACAGTGGCTCTGTATTTTGATTGTAATTTTGATGTGGTTGTGGGAGGCGGCGGGTGCAACTGTTACCTGCACCACCATCTTGTTTCCTCTCCCGCTTTTAGTTTCTTGGTCACATACCTAGGAGTGGGACTGCTTGGTCGTGTGGTCAGTCTCTGTTTAACCTCTTCAGGAACTGCCAGACTATTTTCCAAACCAGCTGCACCAATTTTACTTTTCTTTCAACAGTGTATGAGGGTTTGGACTTCTCCACATCTGCCCCAACCCTTGTTATTTTCTGCTGTTATTACTGTTATTGCCACCCATCTCCCAGTGCCTGATGATGTTGAACATCTTTGCATTTGCTTATTGGCTGTTTGTATATAAGAGAAATGTCTTTTCATATCCTTTTCCCATTTTTAAAATGTTTTTATTGATTTTTAGAGAGAGAGGAAGGAGAGGGATAGATAGAAACATCAGTGATGAGAGTCATTGACTGGCTGCCTTCTGCACACCCCCTGCTGGGGATCAAGTCCAGAACCCCAGGCATGTGCCCTGACGGGGAATTGAACCGGTAGCCTCCTGGTTCCACGCTCATCCACTGAGTCACACTGGCTGGGCCCTTGGCCCATTTTTAAATTGGATCTTTTCTCCTTCTTTATTGAGTTTGTGAGAGTTCTTTATATACACATCACTTATCAGATAAATGATTTGCAGCTATTTTATTTTCACTTCCTTTGTGTGGATGATGCTATTCAAATGTTCTATTGTCTTGTACTTCCACCCATATTTTTAAAAGGCTTGTGTTCTCTTTTTACTCTTCATTACTTAATTTAAACTTTATACCCAGCTAGCAATTATTTATATTAAATAATTTCCGTTGAAATAACCAGTGTGGTTTCTGTCTCCCGATTGAATCCTATGCCTGGTTTGTTTTGCTTGACATGTTGGTGAGATTTATCTATGTTGTGCATGGAGCTGTGGTTCATTGTCATTCCTTTGTCCATTCTGTTGGGCAGATTGTGTTGTTTCTAGTATGGAGCTACTGTAGTAGTGTTGCTGTGAGCACTCTTGCACCTGCCTTTTGGTGAGCATGTGTCCACACTTCTGTTGTGTATGTACATACCTAGGAGAGGAATTGCTGAGCCCTAGGGTAGGTGTCTCTTCAGCTTTAGCCAAAGTTTTCCAAGGTGGTTGTACCTGTTTATACCCCTCCTGTAGTGTATGAGAATTCTAAGTGCTCCCCATTCTCACCCTCACCAGTACTTGGTATTGGGAGTTTTTTCACTGTAGCCCCTTCAGTGGGTGTCAGCTCCATCTAGTGAGTCCTTCCTTCCCCCACTGATCTCTCACCTTTGTCATATAACAAGTTTTACAAATGTGTGGGTCTGTTTCTGGACTCTCCATTCCATTGATAAATTTGTCTATCCTCTCACCAATGTGGTTAGGGAACCACATCCCAGCCTTCTTCCTGGAAAGCCTTTGGTTCCATGGTGGCTCTGCAGAATGACCTGTGACCCTGGTGTCGGGCCTGCGTGGCCAGGGGTCTGGAACTCCCCTCAGGGCCAGCTTGCAGCTCAGTGTTGGGTCACTCAGGGACCACAGTCTGGGGCCAGGGTCAAGGGTGTGGTTGGGACTGAGCTTGGGGCAGTACTTAGGGCCCAGTTGGAACTTGTTTGGAGCTGTCTCTGTGTGGAGTTAAGGTCAGGGATTCATGGGGCTCACTTTGGAGGCAAGAGGGGTTTTGTGGGGTTCTTTGTTGGGGTAAGGTGGGATGTGTCCAGTCCTGGACTGAGCCCCATGGAGGGTCCTGAAGGCGGGGTCCAGTCCTCCCTGTGCCCCACATACACTAAGTGACCTTAGGCAGTCCCTGCCCTTCTTAGTTCTCTGTTCACTCTGCCAATATTTCCACTCCTCCTAAGCCCCAGGCACTGTTGTGTGTCCCCATCATTCAAATGAACAGGGATCCCAGCTCTGTGGCGTCATTGCATGTGGGATGTAAAAAGCTGTGGCTGGTTGTATTGCCAGTCATGTGGCTAAAATGACCCTCCAGCCATGGTGGGTGCAGTACAGAGCAGCCCTGGTGGCTGCCCGGAGCTGACCTCAGGAATCCATTAAACCAGTTCATTCCCACCTCCATCTCTGAGCTACTGGGACGTGCCCTTCTCAGTTTCCAAAGCCTCTGTTTTTCTAGGAGCACTGAGGTGACCCTGGAGATCTAGGCTCTAGTCCTAAAGGCTGCATGACCTTGACCCCTGCCCCCACAGAGGCCCAGAACCCCCCACCGGGATTTGCTATGGTGATTCTTGTGGGCCCTCCCCACTCAGCCCCCTCCCTCCCAGGAGGGCATTTCCTGCAGCACCTCTGTCCACTCCCCACTGCTGGTCTGGTCTCAGCTGAACCTTGGGTGTGGGGGGTGGAGGGGAGGAATCGGCAGCCACTGGGGATGGGAGGAGAGGGTGGGAGGTTGTTTGGAGTCTAGGGGGTCCCTTATTTCACAGACCACAGACACACGGACCCAAAGCAGTGCTCAGCCTTCTATTAGAGACTCCGCCTCTCCTGGGAGGAGCTCTACCCTATAGCATGTCTGGGGCACACACTCGGTGGGATGGGGGTGGTTCTAGGGTAGAGCAGAGGGGAGGGCTCTGTCATCCTGTCCTCTGAGAAGGGACTGTGGTGAGGTTCGTGAGTTTGTGGCAGTGTCTGGGAAAGAGCTTTCATGCCCTGCATGGAGTGCATGTGAAGTGGTGTCTCAGAGCAGGACACCAGGGCCCTTCCTGTGGGGACAGCCAGGGAATGGGCAGGCAATAACTGAGCCTGGGCTCTCCTTCCAGGCCTTCCCAGGCCCAGCCCTCTGGCCCAGTCCCCTAGATCTAGATGATACTTTCTTGGGGGGTCACAGTGGGCACACCTGCCTCACGGTGGCTGTGTGACCCTTGCCTGGCACTGCTCTCTCTCGGCCTGTTTCCTCTACTGGGAGCTGGGCCCCTAACCCCTCAGAGGGAGACTCCCCTGAGAGGGTCCTGTGGGCATAGAGCAGGTGCAGGCTGTGTGTGTGGGGAGCAGGTGGCTGGGACGGGGCCTGGACATGGGGGCCCGGGGGCCTAGTCATCTTTGTCCTTGGCACCATGTTTGAGAATGCGGGTGAACTCCACATAGTTGAAGTTGCCTTTCTTGTCAATGGGTGCCTCGCGGTACATCTCGTCCACCTCCTCATCTGTGAAGCGGTCGCCCATGGTGGTGAGCAGCTCCCGAAGGTGATCCTCGTGGATAAAACCTGGGAGCGGACCAAGGTCCACGAGACACAGGGACTCAGGCTGGGACACAGCCAATATCCCCTACCCCTCAGCCCCCAACCTGTCCTTGTAGACCTTGCAGCAGGGTGTGTGTGGGGGGGAGGGGGGCAGGAAATGACCTAGCCCTGGACTCTGCTCAGTTTGAGCTTGCCAGGGCCCCAGAGGAAGAGTTCCGCAGTAGGTCTGCAAGGTATTTCTGTGGGGAACTTGGGGCTGAGTGTAGGGGGGCTGGGTATGTCCTGCTTTAAGAGCATGAGCCCAAGAGTTCTACTGCCTGAATTTGAATGCTGATCCCCCTTCTTTCTAGCTGTGTGACTTTGGGTAAGTTACTTACCCTCTCTGTACCTGTTTGAACCGGAAAATGGGGATGAAAACAGTGCTGTGAAGGTAGTGGAAAATGTTCTGAGCACACTTAGGCCTGTGGTCCCCAAGAAACTACTGAAACTACTATTGCCAGCCTCACTCTGGCCTGTCCCTGGGAAAAACTAGCTGTGGGACAGGAAGTCCTTCTGAAGATTTGAGGATGTGGGCTGGTTTCTGTACCTTGTTGGCCAAAAGGGCCTGGAATGGATTGGTTTCTGAAGAGATCTAAAAGCAGAGACAGAGTGTTGGGCCAGTGGCGAACTAAGTGGGAAGCCTTGGGGAATGTGGATGTTTGGGTTTAGCATTTGGGGAGAGAACAGTGTATCTTTTACAGTTCTGGTGCCAAAACCAAGAGGTGGGTGGTGTCTGTTCTGGCCTGTGGGGACAGGGGCCCCAAAGCCCAGCATGAACCGACCCCACTGGCATACATGGGGGTACCCTAGGTGAGGTGCTCAGCCCAGCCTTGTACAGGCCTCCGGGAGGTTGCCCACCTGAGGCCTCCTCATCGAAGCAGGCGAAGGCGTTGCGGATCACGTCCTCAGGGTCCGTGCCATTCAGCTTCTCCCCAAACATGGTCAGGAACATGGTGAAGTTGATGGGCCCAGGGGCCTCGCTCATCATGCCCTCCAGGTACTCGTCCGTGGGGTTCTTCCCTGTAGTGAGTGGGGCATTCGTGCCTGTTTTTGTCTGTCCCTGTCCGCCTCCCTGACCCTCCCTCCATGGCCCAGTGTGAAGGTCCTACAGACAGGTGGTAGGAGGTTTTATAAACTGTCAAGCATCTTGCTGGGCAGCCAGCTGTCTGGCTGCTTCCTCCCTGGGGTTCTTCTGGGGGCCTTGATGAGTCTCCGCCACTGGGCTGGATATCAGAGATCAGAAGTGCTCTTGAACATGGAAGAGCCACCATTTGCTGACTGCTCACTGTGTCTGATGCTTCACCTGCCTTATTGCATTTAACTTGGCATCACCCTGTGGGTCGGTATTCTTGTACCCACTTCACAGTTGTGGACTGAGGCACAGAAGCGAAGTGACTTTGGTCACATGGCAAGTAAAGAGTGAAACCGTTATTCAAACCTAGGCAGCTAGACACCGGATTCCACGCAGTTTCAAAAGTGGTTAAAACAGTGAGGTTTGGTTTCACATAGGCTCTATGCCTCAGTGTCCCCTGTCTCTTAGGAGAGTTATGAAGATGATGAAGGCAATGGTTGTAAAATGCACATAATGATTAGCACAGCCCTATAGACTCGTATCAACTGCTGAGTTCAAATCCTAGCTCTACCACTTAGGAGCTGTGTGACCTTGGGCAAATTACTTAACCTCTCTGAGTTTCTATTTCCTCATTTGTAAAGTGGGAATGATAGTCACATCCACCCAATAGAATTGCCATGAGATTTAAGATTGCAAAGATTTAAGATTTAATGCCTGCAGAGTTTCTTGTTATTTTATTTGCTGCTCTTGTTTTTTAACCTGAGGGTGATGTTCTTAACCAGAAGCCATGACTGATCAGTGGATTCACTGACCTGAGCTACAAACAGGAGTGGAGTTTTTCTGTGTAGACACCTGGGGCTGTCATCAAGTCTCTGGGGTTTAGGGCCCTGGGTGTGGGGTGCTGCTGCATAAATGGGAAGGAATCTTCGTGTCCCTGTCTCATCTGAGCCTCACTCACCCTGCTATGTCCCCACAGATGGCTGAGGCCTGGAAGGAGCTGTGACATCAGGACCCACAAGCCCCTCCCCTCATCAGGCCTCAGTCTTCCTCTCTGCCCTTGTGACTTCCTTGGGGAGGGGACCTTCAAGTGAGTCTGGCTGGAAGCTGGGAGAGGTTTGGCACCCAGGGTGGGATGTGTCTGATGTCAGCCCTCCTACTCAGGGTTGCCCAGTCTTCCCATCAGACCCCTTGGGAGTGCATGAGGGCCACAGGCACCAAGTGGGGCTACCCAGCTGTGAGGAGCAGTGCCAGGGAATCACACAGGCCTATGTGGCCCTAGAGCTTTGGGAGATGTTCCCACTTGGATAAAGGGGGCACCAGGAACTGGACTGCGCATGAGGAGGGCTGTGGGGCAGGGCCACAGGCTAGGGTGGTAGTGTCTGGCCCCTGGACCTCAGTTTCCCTATCTGAGCAATGGGAATTGTATTAGATTTCTGAGCCCTTTCAGCTCTAAGATTCTGATTCTGGGGAAGTCACTGGAGTCAGTGAGGCTCTGAGAGCCTGGCACGGGTGACCTCTGAAGGAGCAGAGTTACTCTGGCCTCCCCTCTAGGCCTCAGTTTCCCTACCCATACAATAGAATGTCTGTGCAGTTGAGATTTTCTTCTAGTTGCTGACCCCTTTCTTTAAATGACATGGTACCAGGCAGCCCAATCCACACATCTCCCTGAGGCAGTTCTGCCCTGGAGTGAGCCTGTCTGGGTTCATATCCAGTGCCAAACTGCCGTGCCTCAGTTTCCCTATCTGTTAAGTGGAGAAAGTAATGGCATCTACTCTCCAGGGTGGGTACCACATGTAACTACACAGGAAATGCTCCATAGTGATGAACAGACCCATAGCCTACTCCCTTTCCAGGCCCACTTAGACACCCCCCCATCCCTCCTCACCCAGTGATGCCAGCATGTCATGCAAGTCCTCCTTGTCAATGAAGCCATCTCGGTTCTGGTCGATCATGTTGAAGGCCTCTTTAAACTCCTGGATCTGGGACTGGTCAAACATCGCAAAGACATTGGATGTGGCCCGCTGTGGGCGCTTCTTGGTGGTCTTGGCCTTGGCCCTCTTGCTGGACATCTTGGCTTCAGGTGGGTGGGGCTTCCCTGCAGGAAGTACATGTGGAGGGAGAGCCTGTGACCCTGGGCCAGACCGGCTGCCAGTGCCTGGGCCCGGCATTCAAGGCCTCCCACAGGCTTGGGGCTCTTGCCACTCGCCTCATCCCAAAGCAGACATGCAAGGCCCTTAAACAACCTCCTCTGCCTGTGAGTGAGTTTCCTCATCTGGCACTGGGGATATGAGGAGGGCCCAGCAAGAGCGATTAACTGGCTTAGTGCCCGAGAAAGCCCTGGAATGGTGCCAGGCCTGGAGTACGCTATTTTTACTGTCACTGGGTAAAACGCTTAGGATTGGGTTCCATGCCAACCATTTTTGTGCTTATCTCCTTTAATCCTTAATAGTATTTACACCCTGTCCATCTCTCAAGTGACAAGGTGGGGCTCCCTGCCATCCTCAGCAGGAAGGAGCTGGATCTGTGGCCCTGAATTCCTGACATTCCTCCTCCTCTCTCCTCCTCCTCATCCCTCTGTGCTTCCGGATCTGGAGGTTTTGAAAGGCCAGTGCTCTGGCGGGTTCCCCTCCCCACTGCTGCCCACACTGGACCAGCCCCTAGGTGGGTGACAGACTGATTTGGGCCCCACTCCTTGTTCACATTTCTCAGTGCTTAGAGGGGCATGAGGGTCCCCCAGGCTGAGAGCCCCAGCTTCTTGTCACCCTTGTTTAGACCTGATCTTTTAGCCTCTAGCTAGTCTGAGACCTGCACCTGTCACTTCACCTTGAAGCCCTCCAAGGTTCCTGCCACAACCTAGAGCAAGTCTGGGCCTCTCAGCCTGGTATTTAAGGCCCTTCTCTCTGGTTGACCACGGGAGCCCACACTGTGTCCCTCCTGCCGTCTGTGATCCTGCTCAGCTAGACCTTTAGCTGTACCCTAGATACCCTCAGACTTTCCTTCTTCCTTCCCCCTGGGATGTGCTTCCTTCTCCAGCCCAGGTCTTGAGACACCCCTTGGGGAGCAATTCTCCACCTCTGCTCTGAAAATCAGCATATAAAGGTCTCTTCCTCAGTCAGTCTGGCTGCCGTAAATCCCGATGCACACCAAAGCCCACAGTGAGGCCAACCAGATGCTTGTTTATTGAATAACTGTGAGGGCAACCGTGGCTGGTTTACTGCTTCCACTGTACAGATGGGGAAACTGAGGCCCAGCAAGGGACCTTTTCCCTGAACCCTTGTATGGCTTGTGGGAACTGCCCCTAAAGATGGAGTGCTTGTGTGCCCCTCAGCTGGGGCTGTTTTGGGCCTGGCCAAGGCCCAGACTGCTGCCCCCTCTTTCCTCTGTGCTGAGCCCCTTGATCCAGAACCTCCAGAAAGCCTTCTCTGCTTTTCTTCTTACCCCAAATCATGTGGTTGTGAGTGCTCCTCAAGCTGTCTCTGATCTCTGTCCTATGATCATGTTCAAGTCATTCTCAGGGTTTGGCCTTTGAGATCTTACATCCTGAGTTGGGACCCTCGCCAGCCCCAGTCCTTCCCCAGAGACCACAGCTGCCTCTAGTCATGAGACACTGGCTGCTGTGTCCCACTTGGCTAACACACCTGGCCCTCACATGCTCTGGGGGAAGGTAGACAAAAGCACTTCACACCCATGAGTGGCATGGTGCCAGAGGCAGGGAGTACCATCCTCTCCTGTGGTTTAGTGCTTTTAGGGGCCCAATCCTTCCCTGAGCCGAGTGTTCTTCTGGGAATTTTGACTGATGACACCTACAGAAGGCAGCCAAGGAGAAGTCCGTTGCACCCAACAGAGGCTATGATGGTCATCACCACTCATGTCTGCAAAGCTCTAGAGCAGACATGGCCAGGAGGAGAAAGCCATGGCCAGAGGCAGGAGTGGCCACTGCTCTGATGGGCCGCTCTGCTTTAAATGCTGAGAGCATGGAACTTTACAGTTTGTCCATTCTAAAACTCTTGGGAAGCAGGGTAGGGAAGGTGGGGTGCCCCACTGTGCAGTTAAAAGAACTGAGACTTAAGGGAAGTGGAGTGCCCATGAGAGGGGTGGAGTCAAATAGGAAGTCAGGACCCCAGGCCTAGGCTTGGATCAGTGGGTGGCAAATGGCCCCTGGTCATTTGCCTGAATCGCAAAGGAAACATATACCCTAAGAGGCTCATGGTGGGTTTGCGGCAGCTGAGGGCTCTGTGTGACCAAAGAGAGTTTCTAGGCTTGGTTGAGCAACTGGGGTCAGAGACAGGCTGGGCCCCTAGCCCTGGAGCCATCACCTGCCCTGACTGGGGATCCTGGACACTAGGAATCAGATATAGTTGTTACTTGGCTAGGCTGTAACTAGATGCCACCTTCCCCCCATAACGGCAAAGATAAGGCCTGTGTCCCCCATTACCTCATGGTCCCTGTGGCTGGCAGTGCCAGATGCCTCGCTCATCAACTCACCTCATCTGAGGCTGAGTTATGTGACTCGGAGCAGCCAGAGTAGCTGGATGGCTGGGGAAGAGCAGGACCCAAGTCTCTTGTCCAGCCCCCAGGGCTGAGCTCCCCCCTAGGGGTGAGCCCACAGGGCTCTTGGCAGGCCTTCCCCACCCAACAGGCACAGATGGGCAGATGGCCCAGAGCCCAGAAGCCCTGATGCATGGCACACAGCTTTGGTGCCAATGGGGTGGGGTTACCCCATCCATCCCTCCCTCCTGCCCCAGGACAAGGATGCTCTGGAGGGGTCTCAAGAAGCCTGACGGGGCTGTTTCCCGTCTGGGACACACATGGGTCTGCTGGGGCAGGGAACACCTGCGACCACAATTCCCTTCCCTACTCCCGGGCACCCCGCAGCTCTGGGTTTGGCGACTAACTCCACAGCAAAGGGCCGTGGGCCCGACAGTCTTCCTTTGCCAAAGGACCACTGGTTCCCAGAACCCAGAACAGTCCCCTGCTGCCCGACCCCCGCCAGAACCCCTGTCGGACCCGAGCCACCTCGCAGCCCGAAGCCCAGGACGATGTCCCTGCCCAGAGACTCTCGGGCATCCCGACCCAGGGGCCGCCCGAAGTTCCAGCCCCGCCGTCAGGCCGCCTCCCTAGACCACCGGGGCGGCACCCACCTGGCACAGGGAAGGCACTCTTTCGGTCGGGTGCGTAGACTTGGTGCGGAGCAGAGTGCAGCCTCGGGGCCGAGGGGCAGGGCTGGGCTGGGCTGCGGGGGGCGGGGCGCGGCTCCGGGCCTTACAAGGCAGAAGAATGTGCGCGCTGCGGGGCGGGGACTGGGCAGCCCATCCGGCCTTATTTGGCCTCTGCCCACGGCTGGGGGGTGGGGGCGCTACTGGTGACTCCCCCCCATGGGGCTTCCTGCCACTAGGGGCTCCCCGCTTCGTGGCAGATGGGGGAGGTGATGAGGTGAGTCCGCCCCCCACGGCCTGCGGAGGGGTATTTATCTGGGCCGCCCCCTCCTTTCCAGCGAGGCAGGCAGACTGTCCCGGTGCCTCCGGTTCTCAAGACCCCGACCGCCAGCTTCCCACCCGAGGCCCCACTGTCCCCGCGCTGTGCCT